ACGGCATAGAGAAATTGGAGGAAAAAAAAAGTTCATATCCTTAATTTTCTACAAATAAATAAAAAAGAATAAGGGGTAGATCAAAAGCTAGGTACAAGTTTAGGGTGCGAATCACGAGCTAAGTCTTATAAAGTTATAACTCAAAAATAAAATAATAAACAAACAAATATTCTTTTTGGGTCACAACACATGGGGCCTAGAGGCCCAAAAGAAAAACTAAACCACAACGAGTATGGGTTCAATCTTCATAAAGCAAATCCAAAATCCAAGCCTTTAATTATCATTGGATAACCCAAATTGACATTGAAATAAATAACCATTACTTATTTTTTTGGCAAAAAAAAAATTTGACTCATCTGTAATCGACAATACAAAAAGAAAAAATTTGTGCACAAGTGTCAAGCTGCGACAAGCACTGCGAGTCACTTGGAGTTTGTTGTGCTCAATTATCAGTTTCTTACCACTTCTCAAATCCTTGTTTGTTTGTTTAATTAATTAATAATTAGAGCAGGGTTGATTGTCTGATTACAAATCACAGAGCATATTAAGTTCTTGTGCACCTAAGGACGTACTCTGTAGGTATCTGAAGCTGAGTGAGAGTTTGAAAGAGAGGGAGAGAGAGATGGCAACTGAGGAACAGGTATCGAACGAAGCCATGGCAACGGTGGCTGAGAAGGCACCAATCACCGTGGAGAGGAAGGTCCGCAATGATCTGGAGACCAAGCTCCCCAAGCCTTGTAATATTAGTTTCAGTTTTGTTTATTTAAATTACTTCACTTGTTTTAATTTTACCTTTTAAGTTGTACAAAAATTAGCAAAGATTAATTTTTCTTATTCTTCTTCTTCTTAATTTAGACATGCCTAGGGCTATGACTGCTCCTGATACGGAGAACATCAATGGCACATGGGGACATAAGCATTGTAATATGTCTGTGCTTCAGCAGCATGCAGCTTTTTTCGACCAAGACAAGGATGGTATCATCTACCCTTCCGAGACATATAGAGGTAAGCTTAGACAGCTATAAATCAATCCATCAATTTCCAAAATTTCTAAGTATTAGGTTTTTTGTTGTCACAACACAGCAACAGATCTGACTTGAATTAGTATTTGCAGGATTTCGTGCACTCGGGTTTAATGTCGTTGCTTCTTTCATTTTCATGGTTCTTGTCCATGCAGCAATGAGTTATGCAACTCTGCCTGTAAGTTAGGCAATGCTTTTTCTTTTTTGTAACTTTTAAGAGCCAACTAATCAGCTAAAGGCTAATTCCTTTCTTCTTCTGCAGACATGGATGCCTTCACCTTACTTTGCAATACACATCGAAAACATACACCGGGCAAAGCATGGAAGTGACTCAGGGGCCTATGACACAGAGGGAAGGTGAGATGAGAATACTTGATTTGCTCATACCTAATAAATAATGATGGATGGATGGATGGATGGATCATGGGTAGTTAATTGGTAAAAACCAATTCGGGCTTTGCATGGACATTAAATTGTCACATCAAATTGCAATCCTGTTAGTTCTTCTGGCTTCCATGCCAGCATTTTCTATCTTTGGCTAAAAGTTATAGCTACTGCAAGCTTAGTATATGTTGTCTTCCATGTATGCTGCAGGTATATTCCGGCAAATCTTGAGAACTTGTTCAGCAAGTACGCTTGTACCGTGCCTGATAAGCTCACCTTCAAGGAGCTTTGGCACATGACTCAAGCTAACCGTGACGCCTTTGATTTCTTTGGCTGGTCTCTTTCTATCTTCCTCTCTCGAGCACACGCACACACCCGCGAAAACATAGCATAGTTAATTCAATTCTGATACTGTTGCAGGATTGCAAGTAAACTGGAATGGGGAGTTCTGTATGTTCTTGCGAAAGATGAACATGGCTACTTGGCAAAGGAAGCCGTGAGACGCTGTTTCGACGGAAGCTTGTTCGAATACTGTGCCAAGTCGCAGAAGGGTGCTGTTGGTAAACTGGGATGAGGAGGAGAGCGTCATAGTTTATGACCCGTTGGTTTGCGTTTGTATTAGTTCTTGAGCTTGATAGGCGATTTCTTTTGGTCTGAGATTTGATAGACTGATAAGTGATAATAGAGAAGGGTCTAAATAATGTGACTTCAAGGAGATGGATGAACAACTTCTAGACTTTCAGTTGATCCCACTCATTTAAAGCATCAGATTTTTCCCAAGCTTGAAACTGTATGATTACTTGGCTACATGGCTAAGTGAGTTCACACTTGTGTGTGTATACTTTGTTTCTGTTTGTTAATCAATAACAGCATTTTCCTCTTCGCGAATTAAAACACAGACGGTAGATGATTATCTATATAATCAATCCGCATTATTGGCTAACTTATAAAACCATCATAGACGAGATTACAGCCCTAACCACAATCAACTGTAAACCAGTCTCATGTCTCATGCCCCAGATGATTTTGACTGCAACATGCAATGCTATTACAGTAGCTCGCTTGTGCCTCAACAAATTTCTTAAATTAATTTTGTCAGTTTTTCAACTTACGGCACTTTTGTCCTTTTTTCCAAAATTTCATGTAATCAAAAAGCATGCCTACTAGAATCCAGAGGGGTAAACCAACTCAATGCAATAGTTTTTAGTGTAACTCCCCAGCCACCAACAACAAATATGGCAACTAAGCTCCAAGTGCAAATGAGCACAAATGGAAACCACTTATCCTAAATGATTTGGCAATGCAATCATGCAGAAATTGTACAACTGAAATAGACCGATAAGATGAACAGAAAACATGAAAATAAATGGACCTACCGAAATTTTGAAGTTATTAAAAGAAATAGGCTCCCTTACAATCATAAAACAGTCTACATGATAGTCAAACTAATATCCGTAAAATGAGAAAAAAAAAACAATATAAATAAGGGAATTGAAAAACTTAAACAATGGCATTGGCTGCACTTGCAATCCTTGGCCACAGATCAGCGCATTCCTTTCCGATAGGTCCAGTGATCGCAGAACCTATGACAGCAAGTGAAATGAAGAACATTGTTAAGATAATGGTCCTACAATGTTGAGACTAATGGCAGATGACTTAACTGCATTTCAGACAGACCAATATTTTCACATCACCTGAACTAAGACAAGCCTTACTTACCACATTCTAGGACTTCCAAGGCTACAGAATCAAATAGTTTAAGCAAGCAAGCAATCATGCATGCACTATATTAAACCTCCAAAACCACAAAAATAGTATATTCTTATAGTGAAGTTATTAATAGGTGACACTATTATAGAACAGCTACACACCTTTCATTTCGCCCTTTGGATTTACGATGACACCAGCATTATCTGCATCCCAAGAACAATCACGGTCAGAAACCTTGAGGAGCAGAATGACTTACATCATAAGAGCAGATCTTAAAATACAAAATACTTCAATTTTTAAGATAAGTCAAACTCCAACTGCAATGTATCATGTCTAAAATCTTAATTTTAAACTCTCTACAAAGTCCAAAACAAAATGGTCAGCTCCATTGGTATAATCATACAAACACAAACAGAAAAGTATATGATCATTCAGAGCAGCCATCCTAAACAACCGACCAATTGCCCACAACCAGTGCACAAACAATATCAAGAAAAACTATGGTGATGCAGGATAACCTGGATATTACAAAATCCACATACCAAACCAGCTTAACTATATAACAGGACACACCAATTACTTCCACATCAATTAAAGCATTCATTTCAATTCAACACATAACCAATCAAACACTTTTGTTTCTTCTAAACAAATTCATATCAACACCCCAAAAAAAAAAAAAATCTTTATCCAACATAAAAACAATAAATTACCTTCAAAGTACATGAAAACACCGTCCTTTCGGCGCCATGGCTTGCGCTGGCGCACAATAACAGCAGGTAAGACCTTCTTACGGAGATCAGGCTTGCCTTTCTTGACAGTTGCCATCACCATGTCACCAACACAAGCAGAAGGGAGGCGGTTAAGGCGACCCTTGATTCCCTTTACAGAAATTATGTAAAGGTTCTTGGCACCGGTGTTGTCTGCGCAGTTCACTGTGGCAGCCACCGGCAGACCCAGCGACATCCGGAACTTGTTTCCGGCAGACCCTCCACGCCCTGCAATTCAAACAAATCGAAATTAAACAAATTTATTAACTTTTAACATAAAAGAGAAGAAACCCATCAAGCTGTGATCTTTTGGAAAGAAAATCTCGGGTTAGAGAGGAATTAAGGGTTGATCCATTTTAGTCAATTTCCACCTGCACCATGTTTGGTTGCTGAGGAAAGTATAACTCTTTGGACCAGTTGAGGCTAGAGATTGAAATCTTAAAAAACCAAGAAATACTAGAGAGAGAGAGAGAGAGAGAGAGAGAGAGAGAGAAAGAGAGACCTCGTTTCGACATGGCCGCGAAACCAAAGAGACTTCAGATCTCAAGACTGAGAAGTGGGCTGCGATTTTGAGCTCCGGAGTTTAAATAGAGATGGAGCATAATAAGGCTAGTCTAGGGTTTTGTCCTGTACACAACTTTTCCTCGCAGTTTTTATTTTAGACATTTTCCTCCTGCACAGTTCGCTATTGTAATTGAACTTTTTATTGGGCATGTATAATTAAACAATTAAATTCTAATTTTCTCTTATGGTCGATGCTTCAAATTATAATGTTAAGGTTTTTTTCAAATACAAGCGATAATTTATTTTAAATTCATTTAAATTACGGAGAGGAATATTCAAACTCGAGTGCAAAATGTAGAGCACATTAGCTCTAACCAACTCGACTAAGTTCATGTCTGCATATTAATGTTTTTTTTATGTGTGTATTTTTTGGGTGACATAAGTCATCGCCAAACGTGAGACCTAAATTTAGCATATTAACAAGTGGAATGGTATCCAACTTGAGTTGATTGACCACAGAGACTGTACACAACGACTTGCTTACTGAGGGAAAAAAATAAATAAATAAATAAAATAAAAGAAAGAAGCAAAGCATGATATTTGGCTCATGTCTTTTCCACCACTACAGACAGAGTCGGTCCCTTTCAGGAGCATGAAACTCAAACCTGAAGTCATTCCTCACTTTTCAACGACAATGGGAATTTGGATGATGAAATAAGTCAAATCAAGTTGATTACAATGTTCCCACAAAAACGCACAGAATGAGATAACATTACAAGGATCCTGTTTATGATCACCAGTGTGCTTCTATGGCTTCTACAAAATATCTCTAATCTTCTCCAACATTCTGCCTAAATTTTCTCGCTTTCAACAAAATTGTCTAGTTTTGGGCCTTGGCTGCTATGCTTCATAACCATCAGCTACCATATCACAGAGTCAAGTTAAGCCAGTTTAAGGTACAGCCTTGGTCACTGCTCATCTAACTGCAAAAGCAAGCCATTAGTCAAGTTTTTATCTTTTCCCCGCACATGAAAACAGCCATAACTACCAGCAACAAAGACGAATTAAGTACTAGATAAACTGAAAATTTTCATCACTGGGGAGGAGTTGAGTTTATAGCCTCAGAAATTAGCATGGATAGAATGGTCACAAGGAACCAAAACACCAAGTAAACTATCACCCGCCCCTCTTTATAAAATAAAAAAAATAAAAAAAAGACTTTGTCACAGAGCCTGAAAACCCTCATAAAAATAATTGCTACGAATGCCTTTTTTATCATTTTTGTAAACTTAGTGTTGCCTACCTTTTCGTCCTTTCTGTCTTTTGCCCCGACAAGCTACACTTCTGCAATTACACTGAAATGCCTCAATAGGATGTTCTAGATCATCAAAGTCAATCCCATAATCCTGCAAAAATATTTTGCTGATCATTTTATGAACACAGAAATTCAAACTTTCCAATAACTCAATATGGAACAGTTGGCAAACCACTCATAATGGTACTGGATGAAATTGCATGTAACTTTGCGGCACTGGACTAGAACAAGTGTATTTCATACATATAGTAAGTAGTACACATACCATTATACAAAATGAAGACAAATGAAAAACTTTCACTGTGTGACATCCAAAATAAACCCCAGTGGTAGGTCGTCTAATGCTCAACTCTCCCACAACGCAAACTCAAAAATTCTCAAAATTGCTAGTGGAACTTAGCAAGTTCCCAGTTGGGACCAACCTACTGTAATCCCAAAATCAAAGCCATATTCTTTTCTTTTCTTTTTCTCCAATTGCCAAGAAGAGTTTCAAGTAGTAGAGAGAAAAGCAAGTTCACTCACCCACGTCAGCTCTTCAAAATCACTCACTGTCCTGGTTGTAAAAAAGGCAAGCTGCATACAAGGAGCGCAAAGAAGATACTCAGAGATGCTTCTCATTCACAATGTATAATCACAATCAAACAGAAAGCGTTCAAACTTTTGAATGTGTATACATAGTGTCTATATGTGTGTGTAAGAATTCACATAAGAAGCAACCAAACCCATACATGATAATAGTGACGGTCAGGAGTCTCCACTTGAACTGGGATATCAATCAAATTTGCATCACAGCATCTGGAATTATAAAGGAAAAAATAATAAAGTAAGAAAAAACAGGGAGCAAAATGATTTAAAATTTTGATTGCACGCATAGCAATTGACTAGAGTCATATGATCTTTGTCTAGATCAATGAATATGACAATTGCTCCTAATAGTTAAATTTAATGTAAGAGGTTCCACTTGTTTATTTGACTCGGTAGGAATGAGCTAACTAGCTGGCCACTTATTATGCCAAGATTCCTCAGTTCTAAATTATATCACCGAAATGACCTGCATAGGCAAAGATTAAAAATGCAGGTGTGTGTATACCATTTATATATACACGCATATAAAAATGGAAATATGACCTCCTTAACCTAAGACAAAGACAAAAAGGAAAATGCATAAGCATTGAAATATTACCTATGATTGATAAATCTTGCAACATTTCCATGAAATGTTGCATCAAGACAAAGTGCATCCTCATCCCTCAAAACTCGCTCTGATCCCCAATCTGCATCTAGTGTTACAGGGTACGTATGCCTCTCAGCTCCACTGCTGTGCGTATTTCGCTCATATAACTCTGTATTGGTCAATATCTCCCCAACATATTCACACACAAATGTCCCCTTCTGCAAGACCTCTAATGTTCTGACACCCCAGCCTTTTCCTTCAGGAGTCAAGAACACCTGAAGCATATCAGAACAATATGTTACTGGTTTATTACAACTTATAATGATCTCCGTAAAACAAATTCTAACATCTAAAATGGCATGTTATTAACAACGTAATTAAAAAAATACAATTTCATAAGGATTAACAATGAAAACAAATTTAACAGAGCTACCAGTGTTCGTTGTTAATAGCCAATCAATGGATGCTTCAAGAAGATAGTACAAGATTAAAAGAGCAATAAGTATGGCATTGCGCTCATCTAGAATTTCTAAGCAAAGAAATGAAAACCCTGGTGAAATAATGTGCAGCTTCAGCTAGTAATCAATTAGCCAAATAAGATATCCAAATTGAAAGTTACTAGTAAAAGGTACGAAGTCAAAATAACCTGTAACTTGCAGGAAATACCCCTTTGCACTACCCGGTTTCCACACCACAAGTCACATCCACATTTTCTCCAGCATTCTTTAATAAACTTTCTGATGTGGTGACCTTTGCATTTTTCAGGCATGTACTCATTCTTCAACCTCTCATGGGGGCAGTCTTGACAATAAAAAAAATTTTGCTTATCTGGTTCCCTCATGCAAGCCGTTAGAAAGTCTTCTTTTAGCAGGCCTTGTTTTGTGTACACAAAATCCCCACCGGTTTCTTGAGCGCATGCACATGGAAATTCTGATGAAAGACAATCTCCTGAACAACCAATGCAGCAGTCTTCATCCGAAATACGGGCCAGTGAGATATTCACATTGGCATGTTGGTAAACGATATTTTCTGGAATATAATTGAACTTCGGGAGAGACTCATTTCCAATTTCATCTGCCAATGATATTTTCACTTTTTCGGTAGATTTTGATATGTCATCGAGAGATTTAATTGGCTTCTTTCCCTCACGAGTGATAAGACAGCTCGAACCCATACCATTTAAATCTACCTGAGAATGTTCTATTCTACAAGGTCCCTTACTTGGTCCTGAGACATGGAGGGCATCCCGACCACTTGTACCCACTTCGGAGGACGCTAAGGATGTGACAGAGTTACCCCCAGTTGAACCCCCTGATGAACCTGGAAGAGTTAGACAGTAGCATGCTAGGTGGTCAGAAAAAATCCAGTAGCAGCTAAGGCTTCAATAGGATGGACAATTGGGTACACATGGGAAAAAAAGATGTCATCATATTTATGGAGGCCCTGTTGTCGTTGTTTTGATGCATCTAACTATAACTTTTACCAGACCAAAAAAAAACTAGAACTTTTGGAAGCTCATTGCAACCCAAGAGAGAACGAGAATAAAGGAACAGGTTTTGACAATCTTGTAATAGATAATAATATCATGTAGTGGCAAGACAAATATACCTGGACGTCTCATTGGAGCTGGTTGTGCAGAAACTGGAACACAATTTGTGGATTCCTCTGTTTTTGGAATCAGAAAGTCTTTCTTGTGATTACCACGTGAGACTGCAGATGATGTGGGATTGTTTCCTTTGTCACGGGACTGTTTGAGGGGAATTTGAGAACTAGACCCAGCTCTGCCGTCTCTTAAACAAGGTTCAGAAGACTCCATGCTTGCCTGTCGGCTGACCATTCTTGAAGGAATTTCACTTTCTCCATGATCTTCGTCATTAGCCAAATGCAGTTTTTTCGTTGGTCTTTCAGACCCACCGTGCCCCATATCAACTTCTCTCTTATCTTCTTCTCCCTATTCCAGAAAAAGATAAAAAAGGGTAAAGGGCAACCTCAACAATTGCATATTTTATTGCAACTAGTATACAAGCTAAAAGATAGTCACACTAGCTGTGCACTTGGTCCACTGGAGTTAGACATCGTATGTGACGAGACAACTCATATGTCAATTTATGATGTAACTTGTAAAGCAACTAGTATGTCCCACCAAAAACAGAGGGAGGTTGGTTTTCAACGTGAATTTTTTAAATCAACTACAATTGAATTGACATTTTTGTTTAATTCATTTTCTAACAATCTAAGCTTTTAAATTCAATGTGATCTAACATCAAAGTTATAATTATAAAAGGTTCTCCAATCCTCCAATCTTTCCATCCCATTGCCAAATGTCTTAATTTACAAGAAATAGGATGAACTTGAATCTATTCTTCGCTTCATCACGTGTAATTATAAGTTAAACATTGAGAAGAATTTAAGTAGATATACATTAATAACACATTTCTTGATAGCTTAAGTTTTTTAAGTCCCATTGTTCCCAATTTTAACCACTGTCATTAGTATATATATTAATCTTCCAGTTCCCAATAAAGGCATTAATTAATAAAGTAATAAAAAAAATAATTGAAATACCTTATTATCCTGAGACTCAAAATATGCATCCACAAGAGTCCTATAGTTGTCTTCTTCAATAAGCTCCCAATTTTTATCATACACAGCCAGCAAATTCTTCAGAACTGGTTTGACCAATCTATCAGGGATTCCCAAGGCCCTCGTCGCCTTAAAGGCTTTCAAAACTCTTGGGTTGTTAGTCATGGCCGATGCAAAAGTTGATGAACACTTAATCTGATACTAATTCAGCGGCCTCTTGTTCTTCATGTTCCACACAGCACCTGCACCAATTCGCGGGGCATGTTAGATAAAACCCAAAAGCACACAGCCCATGAACTTTTTACTTGAACAATAGTTTACATGCCTTAGTAATCTCGCTTCCTTTGTCCTGCAATACTTCAATGTTCAACAAATACCAGTACTGTTTATAAAATGACAAATCATCTTGATCAAACTACTAAGGGACTCATAAAATACATATTAAGAAATAGGAGAAACTAATCATTTTTTATACGGTAGGAATTCAACGAATTTATCATGTCAAAATTAGATTGTTCATCGTTAACACTATTCTTATTTGTGTTTTATTTGTGTGAGCGGGTCATGTTATATTTGTGTTCGTGTCAAGTAATGTTCAGCACAAATTCACTATCTTCGTATCGGTTCGAATCGTGCCAAATATAACAACTCCAAATTCTAGCATTAGTTTCTCGACCAGAAAAACAGAAAATAAAAATAACAAAAAAACAAATATTTCCCACAAATTTCAAATAGTAAACAAACAATACAAGTGGAAACCCCACCCACAATAATATCATGACAGCAACACGAGACTCTGTTAGCCAGTGTATAAACATAATATTCTAATCAACCACCGTACTATAAACAATCAATATTATTAAAATACGGACATAGGGGACGGAGCATTTTATTATTATTTTTTTCGTTTTTCGCCATGAATGGTTCTGTTTGGCTGCCGAGAAAATGTTGGAAATCCCAAGTTTTTTCCTTTAGGTTTTCCACGCAATAGACAAACCAAACAGCAATTACGAGCAGTATAAACCCACACTAACAAAAAGCTCCGCTTGGGTCGCTGAGAAATGTAGGAGAATAGAAACACCGAAGTTTGCTCTTAGCCACGAACATTCGCACCGACGCACCAAACGACAAGTATAAGCAAAACCTTCATCTTTTAGGTCTAACAGTAAACAAATTTTCAATTCAAAAATGCAAGCTTTAAGCACCTCTACTTTTCAGCTTCTGACATTGTAACAATATTTTAGAGTTTATCAGAGACAGGTTCTAAATAAAAAATTAACACTTGAAATTTAATGTAAAAGAGGAATGCTATTTACCTTCTCTTCTTCTCTTCTGTATTTGTATTATTTTTATGAGTTAAAAGAGGGCTCCATCTGCCATGGTGGAAAACAGCGCTGAGAAATAGTCTGGGGGGTCCCGTCTCCTCTGCATTTCTCCTGAGTTCTTCTGAAAGAAAATAATAGTGCTAATAACGGCGGCGTGGCGTGGCGTGGTGTGTGGTCCTTTTGAATGATTTGGGGGGTTTAGGGCCCACGTTTACATAGAGAGAGCCCCGACCTCGAGCAAGTAGTGCTTGCTAGCCTTTTGCTGCTACTTGCGGAGTTGGAACTCCTCTTCGTTTTTGGGTTTGAATTTGGTGTTTAAATACTCTTTTTATGCAATGGGTCTAGCCCAATAAAAAAAAGAATTGACTTGAAGATTATAAGTTTCAAGGTCGAATTCTCATGGCTCATAGTTGTGTGTGTGAGATAAATCTTCATCTATTGTAGTTTAAACTATTGGTTTACACTAAAAAAAAGGGAGTTTTACTAAAACACCCAAAATGGGGGCTTAAATTATAAAAAAATTCAAGCATTATTTAAACATATAAACACACCCAAAACCCATCATTACACACACTCAAAATTCATTTATAAACACACTCAAAAAGTTGACTTTGGGTGTGTTTTTATGTTTAAATAGTGCTTGGGTTTTTCTATAAATACATGTCTAGGATTTGGTTTATTTATAAATTTGTATATAAAAAAAACTCTTTTTATAAAAAATAAAAATAATTATCCATAATACTATTAAATTTTAGGAACGATGCTTTAAGCAAAAAACAAAAACCTTCAAATCTTGGTCTTGTATTTTTTTAACATTGTATTAACATGTTTAATGACTTTTAATCATTTTGCATTAGTATTTTATTGTGAAAATTTTCAAATATTTATTAAAATTTGAACGCACTTGAATTCAGTGTAGATAGAGTATTGAAAATTATAAGAAAATCTTGTGTCAAAATTAGAGAGAATAAAACAAAGTGACATATCTCGACAAGGAGTAATGTGAATAACCATAAGAGTATCTACAATCACGCTCTCTATTTTTTAGTTAAAATTTAGCTAAAAACACACAAAAGTTATTTTATGAGCTCTCTAAAAAATTTGAACTCAAATCATACTATCTAATTTAGAGAGTCATAAATACTAAAGTTATTTTTTAATTCAATATGATTGGTCCATCTCTATAAAATATATATATATATAATAGTTATCATTAATTAAAAGTTTAAATTATGAATAAAATAAAGCAGCATTAAATTATAAGGAGTCACTAGGAGTCGTTTCTCTCTCCCTAGATTTATGAGCTCCTAGAGGTCTTCTTATTTTATGAGGTGGATAGAGAGCAAGGTTGGAGTTGTATTTTTCCAATTCCTCCTTAAAATTTGTCTAAAAATGTGGTTTAGGGAGTCCATTATGGATGCTATAAGTGGACAAATTAAGTATAGGAGACAAAGGGAAGTAAATCATGTGTCAAATTAGTGAGAATAAAACAAAATAGCAAATCTCGACAAGGTTGATGAAGAATAAACATAGGCGGTCAAATCTAACTTTAGGAAGACTTTGGAAGATTAATGAAGTACTTGTCTATATGTGAGCAACTGCAATGAATAAATTATTTGGCCCTAAAATGTAGAGGGTCGAGGATAGCAAAACAGTGCTATCTTGGTTCCAAGTAAAATTTTTTCATGAAACAGGGTAGTGTTATAGTAATTATGAGTTATGAGTTATGAGTTATGAGTTACGAGTCTCCAAAAAAGTTATTACGAATGCTAGATACTTTCTCCCCGTGGCGGATCTGGGTGAAGGGCAGGGTGGGTGCCCGCCCATCCAAAGATTTTTTTATTATTTAAAAACCTATACATGTTATATGGGTAGCCCAAGTTTAAAAGCTTAAAAGCTT